GATACCTCTCCCAGTCAATAAAAGGTGAATGTTATATCGAGATCAATGTTAATACTCTGATATTGTTACCTTGCACTTACCAAACTTTTTTTTTTCTAAAAAAACCCATCAATTATCAAGTAACTTGAACAAAAGGCTGTATCGTAACATAACGTATTGCGGCGGCGCTAAACGGAAGAGATATTGTCCTCCCCCCCTTATTGGTTTTCCCAAGGGTAAAACGAACGATAATGGTCAGACACCACCTTCATGAAATCACTTATTCCCAATCGTCTATCGGACTTGATTGTGATGAGAATTCAAGTTATTAAAATTGATTCATGATTGAAACACGTATACATAACATTTTAATGAATTGAGCATTGAATGCACAGCGAGTAAGATAACTGAATGCAAAGAATCTTTCTGGTACCAATGTTTGTCGCAATGATCCCAATCTAAAGACCCGGAAAAATAAATTATGAGCACAAAAGTAGTAATAGGGATCTAGCCAGTCAAGATAAGTTTACTGCTTGGACTTTTCTTAACTTCAACTTCAAAAACATCTGGATATTAGTCCGTGGTATAATAATAAGAATCTCTCTCTACTGAAGAATTTGACTTTAACTCTTAAATTATAACTGTTACTGAAAGCACACAACCAAAAGTTCTTTCTCGTCTTGGGCTCTTCATTAATCTGCATCGACATTCGTTTAAGAATAGCAGTATCATAAATAACAGAAACCATCAGTTTTTTGCGACAAAAAAAAACCATCTTAGCGTTTACTAACGCTGCAAATGTTTTAATGGTGTGAAGACAACGATTAATCCAAGCTATATCAAACATAAACTGCCAAACATTTGACCGTTATTTTCGCAAACATTCGACATCATTAAATGTATTAAGCGTAGAAGATATTTCCATGAATATACTGAAGATTCTCAATGGCGCCAAGCGGCGCAGTAACCTAAAATAATAGGCTGCGGCCAATTTTAACCATATTAATAATACTTAAGGGAGTAATAGAACTTTGTCGAATATACCCGCGCGATTTGCGTGTTACGCAGTATATGAACAGATTTGCAGGACTAGTGCAACAGAAAATGGTCACCGGGTTAGTAGCAAACAATATTTATATTATCATAGGTTGATCCTCATGATCGACGAACTTCATGGGGATGATCCCACACGAAGCTTTTCAACCCCTTAGTCGTCTCGGGGCCATAAAATTCCGTCACTATGCTGACAAAGCAATCATTCTCCCAAATGGACAGCTCTGAAGATACAGGTCTCATATCATCCACTTCCCTTACCTTTTCTGAAAGAACTGATGCTTTTGTTGGCATGGATGGTTTGATCTGGCCAAGTAAGTCTGATGTTGCGTAGTTTGGTTGATTGTATTCGCACGAACGAATCCCCGCTTAATTATCGCTCATGGTTGAACATTCAGGTGTAGGCGCAAAGCAACGATTAAACGATACCGAAGATCAGAAACGGGAACGCATAAAGAAACTTTCAGAAGCGGTTAAAACAATATTCGAATGTATTGGTGAAGACCCTAATAGAGAGGGATTGTTAAGGACTCCCGAAAGGTATGCTAAGGCTTTGATGTTCTTTTCTAAAGGATATGAAGAAAGTCTTGAAGGTGCGTGTCAGTCAATGTGGCTATTTGTTAAATCGTCCTGCATCATTTTATATTAATATGGATCGGTTGTTTGATCTTTGCAGATATCATCAACGGGGCCATTTTCGAAGAAGGTCCGTCCGTATGCTTGTTTCTACCAGTCGCATAATTCTAATACTAAATACGCCAAAAATTTTCCATTTTAGATTGTGACGAAATGGTTATTGTAAAAGATATTGATGTATTTTCGTTATGTGAACACCATATGGTACCTTTTACGGGAAAGGTAAAGAATAACCGTCATCTTCTCGTCACCGACGATCTACTATTATTGACTTTAGGGACTTGTTAATCTATTTTAGATTAGCATAGGATACATCCCCAACAGACGAGTACTCGGCCTATCTAAGCTTGCACGTATTGCAGAAATGTTTTCGCGAAGATTGCAAGTACAAGAACGACTCACAAAACAGATTGCTGTCACATTACAAGAGATTTTAAAACCTCAGGGCGTTGCCGTTGTCATGGAAGCTAGGTGATTAGTACTCTCTTCGATCGTACATGTGCTTGCATGTTTTTGATCGACTTACTAAAATTACCTTTCTGATTACTGTAGCCATTTATGCATGGTTATGCGAGGTGTTCAAAAACCAGGCAGTGCAACAGTAACCAGTGCTATGCTTGGAGTGTTCCGGGAACAACAGAAGACCAGAGAGGAATTCTTGACTTTGATAAAACGCTGATAGGGATGGCTTAACACAGACTATTTGACAATTTCTTGACTAATAAATAGAAATCCGAATTATAGATACTCACTATTTTCAAGAACGATATGATAGAGATGCTTATTTATTGATATAAAGTTAGTTAATTAGACATTCAATTTCACTCCGAACTTGCATTACTAAGACAATAGGGTTGTCAGAGAAACATGAATAGCATCTTCTTAAGGGTAATGTGCTCATCTTAATTTAATAAACGGTCGCCTCGAATGGTAGTGTCGCATATTTATAGGCTTCGAGAGCGTAAGCTGGTGTAATTCCTGCCTCATGCAGACGCTTCGGTCAAATTCTTTACGTTCATAGTTTGGTCTTCGTAGTCTGTAACCATGCAAAATCCTATATATACATATATAATTTAATATTAAACAAAAAACCCTCTTTAATTTCCATCTGCTCCCTCGATCAATTTCAAAACTTTGCACTCACCAGTTTTTTACGTCCGCCTGGCTGAATCATAACATTAATAACTACACTCTTCTTGTAGCTTTCTCTTAACCCTTCCTCAACGGCTCGTCCTAACTCATCGGGCGTACGCACGAAATAACCCTTTCCGCCAACCGCCTCTGCTATAGCATCGTACCTCACATCAGGTAGTAGAGCGGTTGAAGGAAGGCTGTTGTCAGGAGTGGACTTGTACGTGGCAACGTCCAGGCCATGATATATACCGTTGTTGTTAATAATTATAATCAAAATTGGAGTGTTTGCTCGGATAGCTGTTTCGAGTTCCATAGCGCTTAGTAAAGAAAAAAGCATGAGAAATAAACAACGCGATGGGAGAGGAAAATTCGAAAGATCTAATATAAGCTTACCTGAAACCAAATGCAGAATCTCCCTCAATGGCTACTACATGTTTGTCTGGATAGCATATTTTTGCTACAATCGAAAATACCCTCTTGAATAAACATTCTTTCCCACGAATATCATCGTAGACAAAGACAAGTTTCTTATAAATCGCTTACCGGCTATTGCAAACCCTAAACCAACGCCCATAGTCGCAAGAGTTCCTAATGCCGATTACAAAAAGTCAATGCCAACTACGCATTGTTCTCCCCTGTTAACTGTTTGATCGACCACTAACTCCCGCAACTTACACTCACCAGCATCCAGTCTACGCCGTGGTTCTTGCACATCAAATATAGACCTCGCAATATCCATTGTGTTAGCTCCTTCGCTAACAAAAACGACATCTTTTTCAGGCAATCGCTTCTTAATCTCCCAGAATGCCCTATGATAACTCATCGGGAAAGCATCATCCTTGAGCTTCTTCTCAGTAGCGGCAACATTTTTCTTAACCTTCTCGAACCACGGTCCAAGATATGGGGAATCACGAGCGTTATGACAGTTAGCTGGAATATGCTCCTTTATTTGACCCACTATTAAGTCTACATTTCCAACCAAGGAAACTTCCGCTCGCCGGTTAGTATGGTGCTCTTCGGGATGAATTTCAACTTGAATAATTTTCACAGATTCAGAAAACTTTGGCGGTTGCCCAAAATGTAGGATCCAGTTTAACCTGGCACCGAGAAGTAGCACTACATCAGCATCCGATAGAGCTTTAGAACGCGCCGCAGATACACAAAGTGGATGTGAATCAGGAACGACGCCTTTGCCCATTGGTGTCGGTAAAAACGGTATGTTCGAGTGATTTATAAACTCGCGAATTGCATTTTCGGCTCGAGCATATGCAGCTCCTTTCCCGATGATCACAAGAGGCATCTTCGCTTGCGCTAATAACAAAGCAGCTCTTTTAACTTCTCCAAAATCCGCCAGAGACTTTCCCGGATTCGGTACCGGCCCCGTTATAGTTAATTTATCATCATCAGTTTCTGCTTGAATCAAATCAGCCGGCAAATCCACATAGACAGGTCCCGGTCGACCGTAGATAGAATAGCGGACGGCGTTATCGATCACGTTTGGAATTTGCAACAAACTCGCCGGTCGAGCGCTGTATTTTGTTTGTCGTTTAAGCAAAGCAAGTTGATCCAGTTCTTGAAATGCACCCATGCCTTGTTGGTACGTGTCCGATGATCCACCGAGAAGAAGAAACGGCCAGCAGTTGGCTGTGGCATTTACGACTCCTGGCAAGGCATGGACTACACCTGGGCCGGAAACTACGAGGCATACCTGAGGGGGGGGAAAATCGTGTATTAGAGAATACAATAAAGGTAAAGAGACAGAGAGAAGGAGCAAGATCAAATAACTTACACCTGGGCGGCCAGTTAGATATCCTGTTGAATGGTGTCAGAATTAGCAATAATATATTCTTTGGTTTACTAGCGTAACGATAGAAGTACTACCATAAGCTCCGGCTGCATAACTCGCAGATTGTTCGTTACGAAATCCAATAAATTTTATCCCTTCTGCAATTATCGCCTCGGCAACCTAATTAACAAAAAAGTCTTATGACACGCGCCTAGGATGTTCCAAATCATTTCCCCGCACCATCTCAGACCTCGACTACGGGAATTCCGACGATGCCAAACGCAACTGTCACTCCTTGTGCCTTGAGCGACTTGGCGATAATCTTGGACCCATTAGTCAACATTATACAAGCGTTAAATAGTTTGGGAGCGGGATCTAATCAGACCACGTGCCAAATTTATTACTCTATGCTGTATCACATAATCTTTCACAGTGTACACGTAGTTACGTTACTAGGATAGAATTTCTAGTATAAAGCCAACAGATGTTCTATTAAAATGCCTTACTTGCCATTATACATAAAATAGAAATAATAATAAGCTATCTTCCAATTAATATTAAGGGTTATTTTACCCATTATGTGATCTGAGTATTCTTTAACAACTCAATCTTTTCTTTCCCTTATTTCTAACTCATTTTCATAAATGTATACACCTTATTATGTGCTTTAGAATATCCTTGTTCAGCTACTCTTTAATATAATTCAAGTGCTTTTGAAAGTCTACTTCTACCCCAATCCCATTTTCATAATACAGGCCAAGAATATATCATAAGAATTCCCTTCTTTAGCTCTTGCTTGACAGAAGCTGGTTACTATTACTATTACAGATTCAATGTCATAAGTTAATCCAGAAATTATTATTATACTATAATGTTTACCACTTTCAACTTTACTGACACATGTGCTTGCTTTACTGCTTTTTGTATAACTCATCTCTTTCTGTTCATCTTTTTCCATAATAATAAAGCAAGATTAAATTGAGCACTGGTATGTCCTTGTTCAGCTGCTTTCTTATATAATTCAACTGCTTTTTGTTCATCTTTTTCTGCTCCAGTTCCCATTTTCATATCCTTGTTTAGCTGTTTTTTGAAATAGTTCAACTGCGGTCATGTCGTTATTTTTCGTACCAATAAAGAAAGAAATACAGTTGAATAAAACACCTTTATTGATCTTCTGTTACACTACACTAAATACATTGTACTTTTAAATATTCATAATGCGACGTTGGCTTTAAATTTTCAAAATTCGTTTTTTTTTTCGTTAAAGTGAATTGTCAATGTCGAATGTTCGTATTCCGTCTATGGAAATTTGCCAAAAAGTTGCATGGATATTTTAGGCCATATGGTAAAATCAATGCCAACAATGGTGCTTATAAGTTTTTTAACAGAAAAGTGTGATAGTAGAATACTGCTAGTTTGCATCGAGTTTGAAGACTCAAAAGTTCTAACGATTAAGACAGAAAAATAATAAAACTATTGAATTCTTATTTCCCTTATCAAATACTGTTCCTATAATTAACGTTTCGAATTAAAATCAGCGGTTTTCGTGCGCAATTAGATAATTGTTTTTGTTATAGAAAGTGTCCAGTGACTGAATATTAACCCTGAAATTTCAACGATATAGAAGTTGTTGTTATACACCTCCCTGACAAAAGTATAAGTACGAGACGAAATTTTACTAGTAAAACATATGAAAACTCTTTATTTTCAAAAATCTCTATCATTCATATGTACTATGTAACCCACAATAATTTTGGTACTGTTTTGAAGCTAATTGATTGTATTTTTCAGAAGAAAAAAAATATGATATACTCAGTCCTGTTGTCGTTTCAAAACTGTAGTTCGAGGAAGTGGCGAAATTATGTTACACATATGAAATCATATGTGTGACATAGTACTGTCACTACTTCTTCATTACAGTAACTAATTTAAATTCCACAAAATGGTACCAAAATCATGTGGGCAACATAGTACGTACGTATGGATAATAGAAATTTTTGAAAATAAAGAGTTTTCGTATGCTTTACTAGTAAAATCTCGTCTCGTACTTATATTATTCGTGTTATATAGTCTTCCCATTCGTCATTTGCGTGTATATTAAAATTTCGGACTTCCCTTCAATTACTTCTTCCGGTAAGCTTCATAAGAATTTTATACGACCGCTTTATATAACTGTTATGCATAAGGAAGCCTGCCCACCTCCCTTGACACCGTACGCGTATTTATAAAAAAAAAAGTGCCGCAACATGATATATATTACAATAACTAGGCTTAATATTTACTATATTAATATTGCAGCAGAAAAATATCTTCCGTATTTTTTTTAGCTTATCATAACTATGTACTGTTAATTCGTATCCTTGTCAAAATGAAAATCTTAAAGCCTTACCGTCACATTTGTATGCAGTTGTAGAACAAAATTAATTGCGTTCTTGTTAAGGACCCAGTCACTAGTGGGATGACACGATTTTGTATAGAATAAAGCAGTTAAACAAAGTAAGAAGTACTTGAAGAGTAAACAGAAAGGAAGTGTACTTAATTATTGAAATTTTTGAATTGATCAAATTATCACCAAGTTGTCATGTCGTATATTTATGAGTGCAATTATACACGACGCTCGAAAAGATTAGTTCTTATTCGAACCTTGGTAAGTTTTGAAACCCCAGTTATAGTAATAAAACAATAATAATAAATAGATTTTCAGTCATTATTTATTTGCTTGCTTCTATGCATTCATTAACAAGTGCAAGTCTCGGTATTTGTGCCTGGATCTGAACTTTATGTCTCTTGTGTCCTTTGATTACCCCATTTATTCGCGCTTCAAGTGGCTGTTATGAGAGAATCATAACATCATAATATCAATAATCAAACCTATTGTAGCACTGTCGAATTTTTGAATATGAGGAGCCTGCCAATAGGTCTTATCAACTAAAGAAATGTGACATGTTTAACACAAAAAACCCTTAATATTTACCTCAAGCGGCAAGAGTATTTTTATATAAATGAACATCAATTCATAAACCCATGACCTGACATTTTTTGTTATGAAAATTTTAATAATAGCGTCGTAGTTAAATTGGTCAAATTTATTAATCTGAAAATAAACGGGCGATTACCTGTTCAAATAAAAGACAAGTTACAGGATAAACGTACGCGCATTAAACCAAACAAAACGCGGGAACGTGAACGGTACTTGTTAAAATACTCACGGCCCTCTTAAGCAATGGGTTATTCGTCCTGACAGCTGCTCTGTAGTTAATTATGGCTTGCAGATATCTGAATACCTGTAGAAAATAATTGACATAATGATTAATGATATATAAACATATTTTCTAAGAAACACTTAATACTACCTGTTCGAATTTTACTTGGTAACGTAAATCGGTTTGATCCTTTACCAATTACCCAAGCCAAATATCCTTTTACTGATGGACTAGAATGACTCTTTGCATATGGCCACACTAGTTCCATAGCAATTGCTTGACGATAGATGTTACAGATTGAATCCCAAGCCTTGTGGTGATCACTGCATTTCTTAAAATAAGCGAGTTGATTCTCCGTTTTATATCCCTGACATATCGCAAATTGTTTGAGATCGATATTCCTTTTAGAAAATAAAAATTTGTTACTATATAAAATTATAATAATGAATTCGACATATGAATTTACCAATTTAGTTCAACAAATGCTCGAAGCATATTCATTTCTTTGTGCAATTGTCCAGGAATGAGGATATCTCTCTTTTATTTTACTTGCACGATAGTACGGAACTCCGTCACATGCCACCCATTTCCGTACTCCATTTTCAACTCCTGATATTTTCTTTACATGATGAAGGACTTTTTCAATATTTGCAGTTGAATTGGGATTGAGATCGAGAGGATCAGGTATAAACATTTCCGGATTATTAACCCCTTGATCGGTGGATGATCTCTGAGTAATGCTGATTCTAGATGAAGCAGAAAGTTTAGTTTCCTCGTCAACGCTATAAGGTTTATAGACGGTTAATGGGCCCGATTTGTTTTTCTCTGACTCTAAAACACGCATTTTCGGCAATTCTGCCAATGTAGGTAGGCGCGCTCTACAATTTGGACAAACTTGCTTTCGATTTTCAATGTTTTGTTCTTTACAGATGGGACACTGTTTGTTGCAACGATCATTCAATCCTGTATTAGCGATAAGAGAGTCAATTTTATTAGTCGTGGATAACTTTTCCTCGTTCAATGAATTAAGAATTTCAGAAAGATAACTGTGTAATTCTTTGTCCATAGTATCTTGCATCTCCGATGTGATATCGAAAAGGGTTTCGCATTGTGACCTATTAAGAGAATTGAAGGACCAAGGAGTGTTAGAATGTTGAATATTGTTTTGCACGCTCATATTAAAAGCAACTAAGCTAGTAACAGTGTGAAAAACCACTGTATTATATCCGCGATCGAGATAATTTTCTGGCCTTTCTGTTCATTGTCAAAGGCTAGAAATAAAAGGCCTTTCGACAGCGGCTCCTCCATATCCGATAATTCAGTCAACCAATTCTGAAAACGGGTATAACTTCCTGAATTTGTTATGTGGTTATCAATATTAATCATTGTTTTGGACCGTGTTATCGAATACTTGATAGCTGATGCCGCCAGATTGATTTCTGACACATATTTCCATATATTAAGTCTACAGTTTTGTAAAGTTTCTCGTTATTTGGAGAATCTGTAATAAGATTATTGTGAGTTAGCGTTTCAATAAACTTACAATAACTTGATTTCGTCTACTTAGCCATATCTGTGGTGTATGCTGTAATAAGCTCTCTAAAGAAAACCGGCTATTATCACTGATCAAGGCTTCAATTTCTTCATATAAAGACTTCCGTTCAAGCCGTGCGATATCAATAACAGCCTGTACACGTTTGTCCTGAGTGCAATATCGCGAATTCCATTGTTCAAGAAGATTCTTGTTTATGTCTCGTTGTTCTTCATACAAACTGCGAATAGCAATCATTTCATCGTATGCCTTCTGCAATCGCTCTTTTAATTCTTTTATTTCATTTTTTTGATCCTCTAGTTTATTGGTGAGATCTGCTACCAATTGGGATTTCTGTTGACTTTCCCATTGACTATGTTCCAACAGTCTTCTAACGGTTCAAGTTCTGCGCGTGCATCAGAGTAACCTATAGGAGCGGGTGCATTGTCTTTGTCAGCACTGAATCGGAGTCTTTTATTTTCTTGTCTGGAAACTGTTAAATGTTGAAAAAGTTGATCAGTAACAATAATCTGGTTATAATGTCTCTCATACAGTGAATTGAATAAGAATCTAAAGAAGAATGAAGGTCAGAAGTTCAGGAAAATAATC